TTCTCATTTTCCGCAACATCCGATGTCTCCTGGCCAAGACATGGCAAAGACAAGCGAAAGGATGTTGGAGGATACATATATAAGTAATATTTATACATATATACATATATAAGTAATATTTATATATCTTTTGTTCTTTGATCCCGTGATATACCTACTTGGGGGTCTGCGACTGTGTCAATTTAATTGCGTAAAGGGAAACAATTTTTGCTTCTGATTTGCTTCCAGGCGCACGTCCATAGTTTTAAGAGCAAAATGAAGCAAATCTAGGCTGAAACCAGCGACCCTTGATGGATATTTGGCCTTCGCTGGCTGGTTTGTTGGATCCCCATTGCAATCTTCCTGGCCGAGCACACCAACTGAACAAAAGGCACTTCTGCGCTTTTTCAAGTGTCATAATGCCACATTCTAAGTTCCATGCCCAGAAATCCAAACTAATGATAATGCCTTGTATTTCCTCGATATGTGCACATACGTGGTAGGTTTTATGTGCATGAATCAAAATCCCGGGGTTGGCTCCACATGCGCATGTCCACAGTCCACACACTTTTTCTTTCTCCTTGACAAATACATGCTTCAAATATGTTCAAACAATTCCATGGAAAAAAGGTGGAAAACCATGGAAACCCTGGCCTCCGCCTTCTCTGGCCCCTTCTCTGTGTCCGCGGAATCCAATGGCTCCTGGCACAAAAGGGTGGTAGACATGTCCCCGATATCTGGACAGAAGGAAATACAAAAACCGCTTTTTGATGCTTTTTGGGCTTCCACGTGTTCTATGTTCTATTTACTTCCAGGTCTACCACTACCCTCGCAAATTCCACTGCATGAATGTGAAAGCAACCCGTGACAAAGTATACATACCTACTTTGGATCCCACAAATACCAAATATAGTGATATATACAGATATATATATATATATTTATATTTATATATACACGTATATAGTATCTAAAAATGACAAAGTTGTGCTTCAGATGAGGAAAACATGCGCGATTTAGACAAAAGGAAGGTAAACACCGCATTCCAACCGCATTCTAAGTTCCATGGCCAGAAACCAAAAATAACGATAACTTCTTGTGTTTGCTGCATATGTGCCCACTGCCCACACCTATGTGCATAGCCTGTTTCGGGTTTCTTCTTGACAAGTACGTACTTGGAAAAATGCATTTTCCAAGAAAACCACAAAAAAAACTAAGAAAACTTTCCCTGCCTTCTCTGCCCCTGGATTCTCATTTTCCGCAACATCCGATGTCTCCTGGCCAAGACATGGCAAAGACAAGCGAAAGGATGTTGGAGGATACATATATAAGTAATATTTATACATATGTACATATATAAGTAATATTTATATATCTTTTGTTCTTTGATCCCGTGATATACCTACTTGGGGGTCTGCGACTGTGTCAATTTAATTGCGTAAAGGGAAACAATTTTTGCTTCTGATTTGCTTCCAGGCGCACGTCCATAGTTTTAAGAGCAAAATGAAGCAAATCTAGGCTGAAACCAGCGACCCTTGATGGATATTTGGCCTTCGCCGGCTGGTTTGTTGGATCCCCATTGCAATCTTCCTGGCCGAGCACACCAACTGAACAAAAGGCACTTCTGCGCTTTTTCAGGTGTCATAATGCCACATTCTAAGTTACATGCCCAGAAATCCAAACTAATGATAATGCCTTGTATTTCCTCGATATGTGCACATACGTGGTAGGTTTTATGTGTATGAATCAAAATCCCGGGGTTGGCTCCACATGCGCATGTCCACAGTCCACACACTTTTTTTTTCTCCTTGACAAATACATGCTTCAAACATGTTCCAACAATTCCATGGAAAAAAGATGGAAAACCATGGAAACCCTGGCCTCTGCCTTCTCTGGCCCCTTCTCTGTGTCCGCGGAATCCAATGGCTCCTGGCACAAAAGGGTGGTAGACATGTCCCCGATATCTGGACAGAAGGAAATACAAAAACCGCCTTTTGATGCTTTTTGGGCTTCCATGTGTTCTATGTTTTACTTACTTCCAGGTCGACCACTACCTTCGCAAATTCCACAGCTCGAAGGGGAAAGCAGTCCGTGACAAAGTATACATACCTACTTTGGATCCCACAAATACCAAATATAGTGATCTGTAACATTTAAATATATATATATATAAATAAATCAAAAAAAAATATATATATATATAATATCAAGAAAAAGGACAAAGTTGCGCTTCAGATGAGGAAAACATGCGCGATTTAGACAAAAGGCAGCTAAACACCGCATTCCAACCGCATTCTAAGTTCCATGGCCAGAAATCAAAAATAGCGATAACTTCTTGTGTTTGCTGCATATGTGCCCACTGCCCACACCTATGTGCATAGCCTGTTCGGGTTTCTTCTTGACAAGTACGTACTTGGAAAAATGCATTTTCCAAGAAAACCACAGGAAAAAAAACTAAGAGAACTTTCCCTGCCTTCTCCGCCCCTGGATTCTCAATTTCCGCAACATCCGATGTCTCCTGGCCAAGACGTGGCAGAGACAAGCGAAAGGATGTTGGAATTGGCAAACGAAAACATGCATATGAAGGCCATTTATGTTTCTTTGATTAGCAAATACATATATATATATATTGTAATATACCTACTTGGGGGTCTGCGACTGTGGTGTCAATTTAATTGCGTAAAGGGAAACAATTTTTGCTTCTGATTTGCTTCCAGGCGCACGTCCATAGTTTTAAGAGCAAAATGAAGCAAATCTAGGCTGAAACCAGCGACCCTTGATGGATATTTGGCCTTCGCTGGCTGGTTTGTTGGATCCCCATTGCAATCTTCCTGGCCGAGCACACCAACTGAACAAAAGGCACTTCTGCGCTTTTTCAGGTGTCATAATGCCACATTCTAAGTTACATGCCCAGAAATCCAAACTAATGATAATGCCTTGTATTTCCTCGGTATGTGCACATACGTGGTAGGTTTTATGTGCATGAATCAAAATCCCGGGGTTGGCTCCACATGCGCATGTCCACAGTCCACACACTTTTTCTTTCTCCTTGGCAAATACATGCTTCAGACATGTTCCAACAATTCCATGGAAAAAAGGTGGAAAACCATGGAAACCCTGGCCTCTGCCTTCTCTGGCCCCTTCTCTCTGTGTCCGCGGAATCCAATGGCTCCTGGCACAAAAGGGTGGTAGACATGTCCCCGATATCTGGACAGAAGGAAATACAAAAACCGCCTTTTGATGCTTTTTGGGCTTCCATGTGTTCTATGTTTTACTTACTTCCAGGTCTACCACTACCTTCGCAAATTCCACTGCATGAAAGGGAAAGCCACCCGTGACAAAGTATACATACCTACTTTGGATCCCACAAATACCAAATATATATAATGATATATACAGATATATACATATAGTATCTAAAAAAGGACAAAGTTGCGCTTCAGATGAGGAAAACATGCGCGATTTAGACAAAAGGCAGGCAAACACCGCATTCCAACCGCATTCCAACCGCATTCTAAGTTCCATGGCCAGAAATCAAAAATAACGGTAACTTCCTGTGTTTCCTGCATATGTGCCCACTGCCCACACCTATGCGCATACTTGCAAAAATGCATTTTCCAAGAAAACCACAGGAAAAAAAACTAAGAGAACTTTCCCTGCCTTCTCCGCCCCTGGATTATCAATTTCCGCAACATCCGATGTCTCCTGGCCAAGACGTGGCAGAGACAAGCGAAAGGATGTTGGAAGAGGCAAACGAAAACATGCACATGAAGGCCATATATGGCCATGTATGTTTTTTTCACCATATATATATATTCATCTTTTGGTCTTTGATCCCGTGATATACCTGCTTGGGGGTCTGCGACCAAACACACACACACACTCATTGGACGGCTTCATAAGCATTGTGCATCGTAGGTGTTCAAGAAAACTCGTACAGACAATTCACTACTGTATGTGGAGCAAATCTGCATGACGGTACACTTGTGTGTGTACGTGTGCATGCATGTACTGGATGTATTTATGCATGCTCGCATGAATGTATGTATGCATGTGCATGTGTCTACCATTATATAGTTATTATTTTACGTGGTTCTAAGTTCGAACCCGCACAGCAAGTTTCCATACTGCGGGCCCGCCTGGTCCACCTGGAAGCGAGCAAATTCCTCCCTCTGAAGAGAGCTTCTTGGAACAAGTACCTTAGAAAGTGGACCAAAGGACATGTACGTTGTACGTGCACACTTTTTGTAACTTTATCATCCACCATTGGCCCAAAAACAACCGTTGCTTATGCAGCCGCACGCATATGCAACAAAAACAATATTTGTGGGCCAAGTAGCATCTGGTGGTAGCATCGTGGCAAACAAAGTTCGCATACTAGGTTGTAGAAGGTCAAAGTGGCCTACCAACCGTCCAGAGCCATTCGTCACCCAAGAGAACAACAAATGAACAGCCACTTCACCCGGTCCAAAAATTGAATCCTTCTCGATCTCCATGCCCTGCTTGATGATCTGTTCGTGTGTCGAATCCACCATTGTGACTCTAATGGTTGTTTCCAGGCATGGGGCAATCCATGCGAGATCCGCAATTGAGAACATACCCTGTTCGAGGACATTGTTGATGCGCTTCTCCAACTTTGGGAACCTCTCCCGAGTCAACCCACCTTGCAGTTTGCAAACCAGCAACTTAGAATGACACATCAGTTTGGATCATACTTCTTGTGCACAAAATCATTCAATAATAGGATTTGTGTGTCTGTGGGTGCGTCAATGCTTCCAAATCTACCAATGCTGAAATAATGGAAATTGACGCCAGAAAATGCATGATAAAGTAGAGGACAAAGAATCAAACAGCTTCGCAGAGCTCCTTCGATTCTTCAATTTCAATCTGATTCTGGACATGGTTGACTGGGTAGAAAGCTTTGTTCCTGCAAGAAGACTGCAAATCGAACCCCAACCTACGAACCTTTTCTCATGAAGAAATGAGCGCAATATGAAAAGATTCAAAAACATCTTTCTAAGTTAAACCCTCACATCATGTGTGGCAGTCCTTGGGATTGCCAGGAAACCCTTCAAGTTCTGAGCAGCCAAGATTGCACGCCATCCACAGCGTCCATCCCCAGGTATGCCTACCTTTTCGAACGGAAACTTCTGCGTATTCCCTGACGGGCTTGTATCGTAGATCTTGCAAGCTTCTTTAAGGACAACTTTGCACACTTGTCGGTAAAGGGCCTCCCTGTTTGACTGGAACAAATGTTCCACCATACACACATTGGCAATGCCCTTCATGGTGGCGTGCCCCCAGACAGGTTCAACGCAAACAAACTCCTCCCCGCCAAATTCCTTGAAGGCAAAACTTCCAGGATCGTGCGGATGCACCTCATGGTTGAACGGATTTTAAGCAGCAACTTAGAATGTCTCCCTGCCAAGGAAAAAACCCTTCCGAAAGTTTCTCTGCAAATGCCCTGCCAACCCTTCCAAAAAACAATGCTTTTGAAACAAAATGAAAACATATATATATATATATGTGCATAATCGGTTGCAAGTGGCATAGATGCACAGGGAAACTTTGAGTTTCTCATCAATGAATGCTTGGCATTGTGTGCGGACAATTTCTCTTGAGGCTTCGTTGGCTGCTGCGCTTCCAACTTGTATCACCCCAACAGGCCGTACTTGGTCCTGCTCACACATCTCTGCAGTTCTGTGATCCTCAAGAATGGCTTGAAAGGAAGGTGCCACAAGAATGCGCAAACCTTTCCAGGCTTTGGATTTCCCTTGCTGGCCAAACAACACCCCCACCAAACCTGGAGTTCTCATGGCCCAAGTTTGGAAGGTTGTTACTGCACTTTTCACTGCAGAGATAGAGGTCTGGCGCAACGGGGCAGTCGGTGGAATTTCAGGCGACAAGTATCTGCCAAGAATGTTGTCCAAAGAGGCTAAATCACTGGAACTGGGACCATCTTTGGGCAGAAGTGTCGAGATGTCATTCGTACCGGACTTGTCAGCAAGGCTGATTGCCTGCATCAATACCTGAAATTTGCGCGCAAGAACCGACATATATATATATGTGTGTGTATAACTATATATATATACACACACCCTGCAGGAACTCGGCGTGTATGAAAATACAACATGTACAAATGCATTGTATATCAATATGGACGAAAAGCCATAGCTCTTTGTTTGATTCACGATGGCTAGAACTTAGAATGCCCACAATTTCAATGAAATTACATTTATATATATATATGTATACATGTATATAAACAAATGAAATATAAATACTGCACATCTGCAGTCAGGGAACTGGATCATTTTGCTTCTGCTTCTTGGCTTGAATCTGGATAAACCATTTCAAACAGTCTGCCACTGTGGGGAACTTCTGAATAGACACGCCAACTGAATCTTCAAATTTGCCCACTATAACTTTCTGGTGTTCACTCTCCGAATCCCATTGCATGGACGCTCCTTCAAAAAGAACAACGCTGTCCAATATTTTCTGCTCCAAGCAACCTTGGGGGAAAGAGAAGGAGAGAGCGAGAGAGAGAGAGAGAGAGAGACACAAACCCCAGAAACAAAATGGACGATGCAGACCCCCGTGGATCCCGCTTGTGCTTTCTCACCTGTACATACTGTATATATATATAAATACAATACAAAAACGACATCTTTTGCGAGACACCTACCCGTCCTTCTATGCAAACACTGTGCAATGCTTTCACTTTGTCTGCAACGGTCTTTCCCTTCAAAGTCAACTTCTTTTCCTCCATCCACGATTCTCAGTCCTGGCAGGGGTAGGTCCACATGAACAAACGCATGTAGAATAAAACTGTTTTCATTTTCCTCTAACTTAGAACCTGCCACACTGAGCTGTCTAGGCACCCGGGGCACAAACAGTTCCGTTGTTTTACGACATGTTTCCATCCATGTATATGCCAACAGGCGAAAACCATGGATTCGTGTCCTTTCCCTTCTGACTTTCCAACTGAAGCCGCAAACTTTCCGCACCCTTGCGGAAAGCGATTGCTGCCAGTTTGGCGGTCTCGAGGTTGGAGTAATCAGAAGCTTGGAACTTGCGGGATAAAGTGCCAATCTTCACTGTGCACCTTAGATCAAACGGTGTAACTTAGAATGCCCTCTCCGAACCATATGTATATACACACTATATACGTCTACATGTACAAACCAATGTTGTATGAACAAAAAACAGTTTTGCTATCGATCATCATCGTTCAGATAATCTTCGGAAGGCTAGGGGCATGATGTTGTATGCACCTCACTCAAAGGCAGAGGGTCCCTCCGGTGTTGAAAACATTTGAAAACAGGATTGAAAGAGGTTTCCCGTATGATCATCTTAGAATGCCCACATCGGCTCTGGCGACGGCCATTCACACTTGTATATGCATGCATATATATATATATGCATATCATATATACCGGCGGACTGGACCTTAGAACCTGATTTTGGAAATTTGCCATACCCCGAAAAAGTCACCGGAACTAACCGGTCAGATTTGGGTAAAATTGATAAAATTTATAATATTTTTTACGTTTTGCGAAACTGTTCACCGTAATCAGAACTTAGAACCACTACCAAAAATGGCTCGCCGAGAGCCAAAAATGACTACCCTCTCGCAGTAAAATTGATAAAATTTGGGTATATACGTGTGTGTGTGTTGTTGGCCTGTCTTCATGTTTTTTAAAGAAAATCATCACCAAATGGCCCCCTGGCCCGATTGAGCCACAAAAGTGCATTTTTGAATGGAGGAGTCAATTTGAAATTGCAAGAAAAAATCGACTTCTTTTTTTCTCCCCTGGCCAGCTATATCGCTAGCACATCTACTACTAACTTATTGGAATTATATAAAATATAGATATAATATATTCCATAGCAAAAACTTGTTACCACCACAGCTGATAATATGTTAAAATGATTCCAGCAGGGTTCCAACCCGATCGTGCCCTCTTTCGACAAGCTTCCAGCGTTGGTACATTTTGATGTCAGGGGGCAGTTTGGCTGCTTCGATCGACCTTTGTCAAACCGGACAAAATCGCAGCAACAACCGCAAATACAGACCGGAAATCACAATGTCAAACCCAAGGGGGGCGTCTCTCAAAACATCTCAAAACAAACTGTGAGCGTTCATTCAAGAAGCTTCTCACTACCATGGGCGGGAAAACTTTTGATGGTTGAAGACGATGGCTGCGGTGGTTCGTCGTCACTTTTCCCCTCCCCCTCCACGGGCTCGTCGGAAGCAGGAGGAGGGGCTTTGGGCTTCCCCTTCCCTTTCGGGACGCCCTTTAGCAACGCCTTTTCAAGGAATTGTGGCACTTTTTCAAGTGCTGCCATGGCTCTGGATACGCCCCTGAATTTGTTGAAATGCAGTTGAACGGTCCAAAAAAAGCGGGACCAAACAAGAAATTCTGAATCAGACCTAACCCTTGCAATTGCTGTCTGCAATTTGCACGCATGTTTGACCTTGTCATGCCTTCATCCACCTTTCTGACTGTGCAAATAGAAATGGCAAGGGGCGGTTGCGAGTTTGGCAACGCTTTCTGACAACAAACAAGCACATTCATGTAGCAAACCATGGCAAACCCAAGAATAAACCTATCATTTGGGGATACTTTATACAGTGACATGTACCACCCATTTATGATGATTTTAGGTAGAATCTTTCGTTCAATCCATCAAACAACACATCATATTACTTAGCTAGTTTTCCGGTTACTTTTCGGGTAAAAAACTGCGAGAGGGTAGTCATTTTTGGCTCTCGGCGAGCCATTTTTGGTAGTGGTTCTAAGTTCTGATTACGGTGAACAGTTTCGCAAAACGTAAAAATATTATAAATTTTATCAATTTTACCCAAATCTGACCGGTGTGTTCCGGTGACTTTTTCGGGGTATGGCAAATTTCCAAAATCAGGTTCTAAGTTCCAGTCCGTAACTATATATATATATGTGTGTGTGTGTGAACAAATGTAAACACATACACTTACATACACATGTAGTGCGGCCACACATCTAAGTATCTTTCTGCTTATGTACCTATCTTCCTATCTACCTATCTATCTCTCTATCAAACGATCTCCCTAGCTATAAACCTCGTTTTTTTTACTTACTAACTCACTGAATCACTGACTGTCTGTCAATTTATCTAGATTATCCCTGCACTTCTGTCCTTTTCTTGGAATTTGTCTCAGAGCCTGCAGATGGCAGTATCTATTTGTTGTTGCGCGGGTGGCAGGTTGATGTCTGATGTCTTTAGGCAGGCCTTCGCCCTCTCTTCTGCTCATTGTTCTGTTCTGGAGGGTCTGAAAGTGGTATGGCTCGTGTCTATCTGTCGTTGCAATCATGGTAGGTTTGCGTCTTTTAGGAAGGCCTTCGGCCTACTACTCTATCCACTTGTCTTCTTGTCAAGACACCTATCCGAAGGCACGTGGCAGCGCTAGTATCTATTCCTCGGCGCAAGGGTGGTCGGCGCATGTCTTCAAGAAGAACCTTCGGCCTGGTAACGTGTCCACTGCTCTTCTTCACCTTGCCTTCCTCTTTTCACTCCTCATTGTGATTTTTCTGAAGGCTCTGAATGTGGTAGGGCTAGTACCAATCTGTCGTTGCAAGGGTGGTAGGTTTATGTCTTTTAGGGGGGCCTTCGGCCTAGTACACTTCTCTTTCACTTTATCTTCCTCTGAAGGCTGTACATGTGATAGGACTAGTACCTGTTTGTCATTGCAAGGGTGGTAGGCGCATGTCTTTTAGGAAGGCCTTCGGCCTACTACTCTATCCACTTATCAAGATATTTATCTGAAGGCGCATGGTAGCGCTAGTATCTATTCCTCGTCGAAAGGGTGGTAGGCGCACGTCTTTAAGAAGAACCTTCGGCCTGGTAACGTGTCCACTGCTCTTCTTCACCTTGCCTTCCTCTTTTCACTCCTCATTGTGATTTTTCTGAAGGCTCTGAATGTGGTAGGGCTAGTACCTATCTGTCGTTGCAAGGGTGGTGGGTTTATGTCTTTTAGGGGGGCCTTCGGCCTAGTACACTTCCCATTTCTCGTCTTTTCCTCGTGGGATGAACGTGGTGGGGCTTTGCATTTCGAATGAGAAGACGCTTCCCAGTTTCAATTGTGAAGGCTTGCCTCTTACCAGTGCTTCATGTTCACCGTATGTCATGTACTCTTCTTCGCCCCTTCCTTTTACTTGGTTGAAGTTGGAAGGGTTGGATCATTGGGGCATGAAAGAGCACACTTGACGAGATAAGTAGATAAATGCAATGTAGATATATTTGCAAAAAATATTTAAATTATATATGTATACCATATATATATATGTGTGTGAACAAATGTAAACACATACACTTACATACACATGTAGTGCGGCCACACATCTAAGTATCTTTCTGCTTATGTACCTATCTTCCTATCTACCTATCTATCTCTCTATCAAACGATCTCCCTAGCTATAAACCTCGTTTTTTTTACTTACTAACTCACTGAATCACTGACTGTCTGTCAATTTATCTAGATTATCCCTGCACTTCTGTCCTTTTCTTGGAATTTGTCTCAGAGCCTGCAGATGGCAGTATCTATTTGTTGTTGCGCGGGTGGCAGGTTGATGTCTGATGTCTTTAGGCAGGCCTTCGCCCTCTCTTCTGCTCATTGTTCTGTTCTGGAGGGTCTGAAAGTGGTATGGCTCGTGTCTATCTGTCGTTGCAATCATGGTAGGTTTGCGTCTTTTAGGAAGGCCTTCGGCCTACTACTCTATCCACTTATCAAGATATTTATCTGAAGGCGCATGGTAGCGCTAGTATCTATTCCTCGTCGAAAGGGTGGTAGGCGCACGTCTTTAAGAAGAACCTTCGGCCTGGTAACGTGTCCACTGCTCTTCTTCACCTTGCCTTCCTCTTTTCACTCCTCATTGTGATTTTTCTGAAGGCTCTGAATGTGGTAGGGCTAGTACCAATCTGTCGTTGCAAGGGTGGTGGGTTTATGTCTTTTAGAGGAGCCTTCGGCCTCGTACACTTCCCATTTCTC